GTAAAGATTCAGCTTTAGATCCCCCCCCCACCAAGTGGCACAGCGGCATGTCTGCGGACTTACAAAGCTAGAAACCGGGTTTCGATATCCGTGATGGGCAAAGCACAGATAGCCCATTGTATAGCTTAACTTCAAACAAACAGCTTTAGATGAATACTTGTGAATTTTAATAGGTTCCCACGTGTTTCTGCGATAAGCTTGAGGGTGTATAACATTTAAATTATGGGATCGATCCCTGCGGTGCGCAAAGTTCAGATAGCGCATCTTGCAACTTTGTGTTTGACAACAAACAAATGAAGAGAGCTTCATTAATTTATTGCCCTCTGGTGGTTGAGCGTTGACTCTGAGGGCTTATGATTCTAAAAATGAGGTTTCGATACCCGCGCTGGGCATAGCACATGTAATCCATTATGTAACTTTATGCTTTACAACAAATAAAGAGTTTTTACATAAATGGCCCTTTATAGGACATAATTAAACAAAATGTTGATCGTATACGAAAAATCATACGTACAAGTTTCTGTAACAATTTCTGCGTTATCATTCTATCTTTTATTTACATTCGTTTATTTTGTATTCATTTGTTTATCTATTTAACGCAAAGCTACGCAATCTGCATTCTGTCCATTGCTAGGAACCGAATCCTAATTCTAGCGTTATAAGTCATCAAACTTCCCTCTCGCTGAGCCATGAGGGAAGTTTATCGCTGTTAACATTTCATTCGGAATGTAGAATGTTCAACTAAGACTTGTAGCTTTCTCGTGCATTTTAATTGTTGTAGCTTACGATATTAGTTTTTTTTTAATATTATTCTTTTGTTGGTTACTAATTATCATCTTACAAAATATTTAGCACATGCGAGAAGCCGCCGAAAAGCGGAAGGAGTTGGAGAGGGAACATGCAGAAGCTCTGGCAGAGCTACATAAACGTCAGGAGGAAATCCGTGTTCTTGGTAAGAGTAAGGATTCTGAGAAACAGCAGTCGCAAGAGGTGATCAAATCTTTAGAGGTTAGTTTCGTCTTAGCTTTTGATAAACAAGTTTAGAGTAATTATAGCCTTGATGACGTCGAGTAAATTTCTTTGTTGTTAAGCTCTAAACAAAATAGGCTGTCATCTTCTCACCGCGTGTATCGAAACCCGATGTTTAGCATTATAAGCCCCCAGACTTACCGTAGTTGTGGGCATACTTCGTTCCAGATATGACATTCTGCCACTACTTGCCGGTATTGAGTACCAGGACTTATTTTTTAACGTGGTACTAGTACCAGGACTTATTTTTTAACGTGGTACTAGTACCAGGACTTATTTGAGCTGCTTTGTCGCTTTTTATGTTTATACGTAGATTTTTCTTTCTTCTTCAAAAACAGGTCCACTTCGCCCACCTGAGTACCTCTACTTCTTCTTCAGAATTTCTTCTTACTAGAAGTTAGCTGTTAGTATTGTTTATATGAGTTACGTCGTTCTTACTAGAAGTTACCTGTTAGTATTGTTTGTATGAGTTACGTCGTTCTTACTAGAAGTTACATGTTAGTATTGTTTGTATGAGTTTCTTCGTTCTTACTAGTAGTTAGCTGTTAGTATTGTTTGTATGAGTTACGTCGTTCTTACTAGAAGTTACATGTTAGTATTGTTTGCATGTGTTACTTCGTTCTTACTAGAAGTTAGCTGTTAGTATTGTTTATATGAGTTACTTCGTTTTTACTAGAAGTTACCTGTTAGTATTGCTTGCATGGGTTTCTTCGTTCTTACTAGTAGTTAGCTGTTAGTATTGTTTGTAGGAGATACTTCGTTATTACTAGAAGTTAGCTGTTAGTATTGTTTGTATGAGTTACTTCGTTATTACTAGAAGTTAGCTGTTAGTATTGTTTGTATGAGTTACTTCGTTCTTACTAGAAGTTAGCTGTTAGTATTGTTTGTACGAGTTACTTCGTTCTTACTAAAAGTTAGCTGTTAGTATTGTTTGTAGGAGATACTTCGTTATTACTAGAAGTTAGCTGTTAGTATTGTTTGTATGAGTTACTTCGTTTTTACTAGAAGTTACCTGTTAGTATTGTTTGTATGAGTTACTTCGTTTTTACTAGAAGTTAGCTGTTGATATTGTTTGTATGAGTTACGTTGTTCTTACTAGAAGTTACCTGTTAGTATTGTTTGTATGAGTTACATCGTTTTTACTAGAAGTGAGCTGTTAATATTTTTGTAGGAGTTACTTCGTCCTTACTAGAAGTTAGCTGTTAGTATTGTTTGTATGAGTTACTTCGTTTTTACTAGAAGTTAGCTGTTGATATTGTTTGTATGAGTTACGTCGTTCTTACTAGAAGTTACCTGTTAGTATTGTTTGTATGAGTTACATCGTTCTTACTAGAAGTTAGCTGTTAATATTGTTTGTATGAGTTACTTCGTTTTTACTAGAAGCTACCTGTTAGTATTGTTTGTATGAGTTACTTCGTTCTTACTAGAAGTTACCTGTTAGTATTGTTTGTATGAGTTACATCGTTCTTACTAGAAGTTAGCTGTTAATATTGTTTGTATGAGTTACTTCGTTTTTACTAGAAGCTACCTGTTAGTATTGTTTGTGTGAGTTACTTCGTTCTTACTAGAAGTTACCTGTTAGTATTGTTGGTTTGAGTTACTTCGTTCTTACTAGAAGTTACCTGTTAGTATTGTTGGTTTGAGTTACATCGTTCTTACTAGAAGTTAGCTGTTAATATTGTTTGTATGAGTTACTTCGTTTTTACTAGAAGTTACCTGTTAGTATTGTTTGTATGAGTTACTTCGTTTTTACTAGAAGCTACCTGTTAGTATTGTTTGTATGAGTTACTTCGTTCTTACTAGAAGTTACCTGTTAGTATTGTTTGTATGAGTTACATCGTTCTTACTAGAAGTTAGATGTTAATATTGTTTGTATGAGTTACTTCGTTCCTACTAGAAGTTACCTGTTAATATTGTTTGTATGAGTTACTTCGTTCCTACTAGAAGTTACCTGTTAATATTGTTTGTATGAGTTACTTCGTTCCTACTAGAAGTTACCTGTTAGTATTGTTTGTATGAGTTACTTCGTTATTACTAGAAGTTAGCTGTTAGTATTGTTTGTATGAGTTACTTCGTTATTACTAGAAGTTAGTTGTTAGTGTTGTGTGTGTGTAAACAGTGTGCCTGGTCTATACGTGTGTGTAAACAGTGTGTCTGGTCTATACGTGTGTGTAATCAGGGTGTCTGGTCCATACGTGTGTGTAAACAGTGTGTCTGGTCCATACATGTGTGTAAACAGTGTGTCTGGTCCATACGTGTGTGTAATCAGTGTGTCTGGTCTATACGTGTGTGTAAACAGTGTGTCTGGTCTATACGTGTGTGTAAACAGTGTGCCTGGTCTATACGTGTGTGTAAACAGTGTGTCTGGTCCATACATGTGTGTAAACAGTGTGTCTGGTCTATACGTGTGTGTAAACAGTGTGTCTGGTCCATACGTGTGTGTAAACAGTGTGTCTGGTCCATACGTTTGTGTAAACAGTGTGTCTGGTCTATACGTGTGTGTACACAGTGTGTCTGGTCTATACGTGTGTGTAAACTGTTTACACAACACGTATGGACCAGACACACTGTTTACACACACGTATAGACCAGACACACTGTTTACACACACGTATAGACCAGACACACTGTTTACACACACGCATGGACCAGACACACTGTTTACACACACGTATGGACCAGGCACACTGTGTACACACACGTATAGACCAGACACACTGTTTACACACACGTATAGACCAGACACACTGTGTGTCTGGTCTATACGTGTGTGTAAACAGTGTGTCTGGTCCATACGTTTGTATAAACAGTGTGCCTGGTCCATACATGTGTGGATTTCGTTCCGTTTAACATCTATATATATATATATATATATATATCCAGTATAATTACCAAGTTGGTAGAATTACTTTGCTACACTCATGACTCGCAGAAATTCTAGTGTACTGATCAAGCTCCTTCATTGTCCTCAGTTGCTGCTATAGCTACCACCAGGGGTCCTTAGTGAAAAAAAAATTTAGGACACCTGCTCGCTATACCTAATCACCTGTGCCAAATTTGGTATAACTAGCTTGTGAATGGGGGTATAAACACAGTTTCAATAATACCCCCCCCCCATAACAGACTTGAGATTTTAGTGACCCTGCAAATCTATTGTGGACTCCTATTATGCTTGTGTGACTCACTGGGGGGAATTTCAGCAATTACCATTGTAATGAGATTCTGTGACGTCTTTATGTGGGCTCTTCACAAATTTCATGGGTTCATAGTCAGATGAGTTCACAGGTTCAAATAATAAGATAGAATGAACACCAATTTCATTGTCCAAAGACGTTGCTGTGAACGTAATCGTATGACTTGATGCCTTCATGATGGCCTGGTTATACAGTCCAGAAACTTTATCTGTCATATTTGGTGTAAGTCTTTTCTCCTGACAGTAACTATAGATCACTTCTGTTTTACTGTTGTACTTTGTGAAAGAAGAGTTCCCTTTTATGAAAAAAAAAAACATGCAGAAGTCATAAAGCTGAACAAAAAAGTTTGGTACCTTTTTTACACCAGGCTTTGTTGGAACAAGCTTTCATCTCCAATGTGCAAGGTATTTCTTGTTCAGTTTGATATGAAGTGTGTCTTTCTCTCAGTGTTCCTGTCACAAGAGTATCTTTGTTGGAACAAGCTTTCATCTCCAATGTGCAAGGTATTTCTTGTTCAGTTTTATATGCAGTGTGTCTTTCTCTCAGTGTTCCTGTCACAAGAGTATCTTTGTTGGAACAAGCTTTCATCTCCAATGTGCAAGGTATTTCTTGTTCAGTTTTATATGCAGTGTGTCTTTCTCTCAGTGTTCCTATCACCAGAGTATCTTTGTTGGAACAAGCTTTCATCTCCAATGTGCAAGGTATTTCTTGTTCAGTTTTATATGCAGTGTGTCTTTCTCTCAGTGTTCCTATCACAAGAGTATCTCGTGTACTCATGGTTTTTGCATCTTTACAAGGGCAAGAATACAAGGTCTTCAAGTTAGAACTATGTGTTGCGTCATCGAGGTCACGTGACTGGTGTGGCGCCACCTATTTTCTAGAACTATCCTGTTCCTTGGGAATGCTCTAGTATTTACTAGATATAGGGTAGTCTGGTATATAAAAGAGGGTGACAACGTGACGGGGAATAATGTGTGTGTAGATAGTGAGTAATTGAACTGCAGTCACAGGGTATTGTTGAAGTTAACGTACGTTCGTTATAGTGTTTGTTTTAGCGCGAATATTGAAATTAAGTATATCGTAAAGTTATATTCGGAAAGAATAAACCAGTTTTATTAAGTAAGGACTTGTGTCGTTAAAGTTTCGTCGGAACGAAGTTACGGAAAAATCAATTAACAAACGGAGACGTAACATATGGAACTCAAGAACGTCCTTTGTTGTACAAAGATACCAATATGTACTAAAGCTATGAATACAAGAACGTTCATTGTTCTACGTGAATATCAGATGCTTTGTACTAAAGCTATGAATACAAGAACGTTCATTGTTCTACGTGAATATCAGATGCTTTGTACTAAAGCTATGAATACAAGAATGTTCATTGTTCTACATGAATATCAGATGCTTTGTACTAAAGCTATGAATACAAGAATGTTCATTGTTCTACATGAATATCAAATGCTTTGTTCTAAAGTTATGAATACAAGAATGTTCATTGTTGCACAAGAGAACCAGTTGTTTCGATGATAAGTTTTAAGAGAGAGAGCAAAGAAAATTTATTACTAAAATTCCTTCCTTAATAAGCATTTACATGATGACTAGAACTTTTAATGATATGTTGCCTTGGTCACCTTTTTTTTTTGTGTGTAAAATCTTTTTGATGTTATCTCCTTACATAACATACAGACAACAGGAGACCATTTGGACTTCAAGGCTTTCCTTGTGCACCCACCCTTGAGAAAAGTAAAAATGGAATCACACTATGTAGTTTTCAGGAAATCAATGATTCCCTTCTTAAAGTTTTGTGAAGTGCGGCCAGTAGCCTAAACTACTTCCAATGAAAAATCATTTTATAAGCCACTCACCGTATTAAAACAATAAAACTGTCATAAGAGATCCTAACTTGACCTTTGTAAATCTTAAACTTGTGTTCGTTCATCTTATTGACTTCAGAATCCAGAAAAATGAAGTTAGAGGCCTTTATCTGATCAATCTCCTGGATAATCTTTAATGACATCATCTCTTACCATTTGTTTCTTCCAATTTTATGTTATGGAGTGGGTACTTTTCATAAGTAAAAGTACTGCAATGCCTTCAGATATTGTTTCATTTCTTCTAACCTGTTTCATATACAAGTCTGTATTATGAAGATTTGTTCATGATTAAGGGTTTGTTCCCCGGTGGGACAGTGGTAAGTTTCCAGACTTACAATGCTAAAATCTGGGTTTGATTCCCTGCAGTGGACACAGCAGATAATCCACTGTGGCTTGGCTCTAAAACAAACAAACTAGACTAAAGGTTTAGAAAAATACTGAAACTTATACATCACAGCATCGGTTGTTTTTATTTAATCTACACTTTCTACCAATGATATCTTTTCAACAAATATGCAGATTTTAAGCTGTTACTAATACCTTTGAAATAATGTTATTTTTAAAATATTGTCCCTTCCCACAGTTTAGTGCATTGATTATTGAAAATTAATTAATCACCGTCCTACTGCATGACTAACTAATTTGAGTCAGTAATTGTAAACTGCTATACACTTTTTATTAAAAGTGTTTCGTTGGTAATTTCATTTACCCATAAGTAGCATTGAACCCAAGACTTCTTGCACACCAGGCAAGTAATCTACCAGTTAAACTATAAGATTAACACATTAGCTAGCTATTATATCTAAGACAATTTTTAACAATTCCAACTATTACGTTATTTCTCTCTCGCAAAGACCCTGCTTCAGACCTTGTATCTTAGGATCGTAAGGACATTAAATGGTTGCTAAACTTTTTGTGATAACCCAATTTTTGAATCTATGGATTAACTATGAATGAATGCAAGCTTCTTGCATACCAGGCAAGTAATCTACCAGTTAAACTATAAGATTAACACATTAGCTAGCTATTATATCTAATTATATTATATCTAAGACCCTGCTTCAGACCTTATATCTTAGGATCGTAAGGACATTAAATGGTTGCTAAACTTTTTGTGATAACCCAATTTTTGAATCTATGGATTAACTATGAATGAATGCAAGCTTCTTGCATACCATGCAAATCCAGCTTTACTAAAGGATTAGCCCAATAGTAATGGCAATTAAAGGACTAGCCCAACAGCAACAATTTAGAATACCACATTTGTTCTTTACTAGTGATGTGTTGTACATTAGGGTATTTTTTTTTTCAGTCGAAAGTGCGAGAGCTTCAGAAGAAGTGTGAACTCCAAAATGTTCTCCACGAAGAACTTGTGTTGGAGATGGCAGCACTCCGACGTTCACAATCTAGAAGAGCATGGAGTACGCAGAGATCGCATTCAGCTGACGTAAGCTGTTAAAACATCTTAACCTTTCGCATTAGTTTTGGTAAAAAAATGTTTGCAAATTCAGGTTGAAAAATTTTTTTATAAGACTAAAATATAGACCAAAACATATTTGAATTTTTTAAAAAGCTTTTATTAAAAACTAAAATAGCTTTTCATCTAATGAAAAACTAGTATTTTACTTGGACTTCTCTGAGAAATCCAAGTTCAATCATTTTTTATAAATAGCTTATTTTTTAAATATGTAATATGTTTAACCAAATAATATCTTAAAAAAGATATACTTAAGTAAAAATTCCTTAGCATATTCAATTTTAAGTAATTATTGAAATTAATTTAATCACCTACCCCCATTTTTTCTCTATGTAAGAACTCCATTGTTGTCAGTTAGGTAGTTTTCTATAGAAAGTATAACTTCTGTGTCTGTACAGCTTCCACATGATCAAGACTCGCATTCTGTTGAAGAGCTAGACAGGATATTGGCCAGCACAGGGATGCTAATGTCCAGTACATATGGACAGTATTCTTCTTCAATTCTCCCCATCTCTTCAGTCCCTTCATCATCTCTTCCATACCTGGATCAAATAGACTTATTTTCTCATACGTCGGCTCCATGGACACATTCTTCGACGTTAACTTATTCAACTACTAAAGGTAGATATTCTTACAGTTCAATGTTTTCAAATAAGTTTTGTTAGTTAATCTCCTTGGATATGTAATTATAGGGTTTTATTGTCATTGCTGGGAAAATAAATATGTTTGGATACATCAACAACTTCCACTCCAGTGTTTGGGTGATTCTTATCAATGTAATAGTCAATGACCCCAAACATTTGACTGACATTGCCAAGATACATCTCAAGTGATTTTTATAATATCTCAAATAAAATAATCGTGTAAGCTTTAGCAAAATGCATAAATTTTGTGTTACAAAATTTAATTGTTTCATTGTACAAACTACAAATTATGTATATGAAAATAAAATTGGTGAGAGAAAAAATCAGTTAATTAATGAAAATATGTATGTTTTAAGAAATGTATTCTATTTTTGCCCAAATTTTCTGGAAAAAAGTTGGGGTCTGACATTGAGAGATATCAGTTTTACTTCTGGACAGATAGGGCTAATAGTCAAAACTTGTTTCTTTTGGGGGACAACTATAAACTTTTGAATGCGTAAGAATTGGGTTTTATTGTTAATTTTAAAATAAATGTTATCAGTAATAACAGACTGCCCCTATAAGTGGATCTTAACTTCCTTTTTCAAGTTAAATAGATTTATAACTCATAAGTGCATCTCAAGTGTTTTTATTACATTAAATAACAAGAAAAGTCATGTGGTTTCTTTCCTTAATTTTAATTGCTTTTGTGATAGGCTGAAAAAATTCTAAAGTCTGTTGATATAAATGCTCTAAGCCCCCTGACCACTTCTGCAAGTTTTATTATCATCCTTGTTAAGTGATGTTACAGCTTTCTTAACAATAAAGTTATCAGTTTTAAAGAAAATCTCTTTTTACATCCTCATTAGGTGCTGTCATAACCCTCCTTAAACTGTAGCCAATAATTTCAGAAAACTCCAGCCTTTATACAACCTTTAGGTGTGGTCACAGCCCTACTTAATAGTGAAGCTGACAGTTTCATACAATCCAAGCTTTTGTTTACATCCTCATTAGGTGCTGTCACAGCCCCTTTAAAAGTGAAGCCAACAGTTTTAGACAAACTCTCTTTTACATCCTTACCACTCACAACTCCAGCCACACTAGACTCTGCTTCCAAAGAGATAGACAGGATTCTACAACGCATTGAGCAGGACAACAGACTACTGG